ATTCCCACTGTACTGTTTTGCAAAATAAATGAGTCGTGGGTGCCTCCTGGCCAGCGGGCCACAGCCTTAAGGATATGGCAGTCGGCATTACAGATCATCTGCACGCTGATGGAGTGATAGTTTTTCTGTTCATGTTATTGTTAATATTTTAATTGTCACAATGATGAGGGTGAACGTGTGCCAATTTCATGGTAATTTAATCCATTTGGCCAATATATTAGTAAATTAATTATTTTAAAAAATGTTAATTAAATCTCTTTTATGAATGTGGTTTTATAGACTCTGCATGTACTTAAAAGGTATGTTTGCATTTTCTAAGTCAGTTCGGCCTTCCTCATTTGTGCGTACGCATGGTCTGAGGCAGTTCTAAATTTGTTCGCAGAGTAAGAACAAATTCGGGTAAGAAAATATTGATGAATCCCGTATTTGTGCGTCAAACGATCGTACGCACAGTTTAAGCACAGATTTGTGCGTACACACTGTTTGTGAATGAGGCCCATTGTCTTTTCATGTTCAGCAGCATAGTGCTGAATCAAAAGCTCAATGTTTGGACATAGGTCATCATCAGGGGCCAAACAAGCGCACTGGTTGCAAATGCTTGTTATCCATTTCCAAACCCTCTCAAACATAAGAAGGCATCCTATAGGATAATCAGAACATTGGTAATCAAGTGGTCATCTGTATCACCTGCATTGCCACCATGTCTGCTTCACATTATGGCATCATCTTGTGGTTGAATTTGAATAAAATAAAATGGAAAATACATCAAAAAATCAACAAACCCAAAATTAAATTCTGATTTAATGTCAAACAGATTTTTTTTTTAATCAAAAATGAAGAGTTAATCTTAATTTGTAAGGAAACACCTCAAGTCAGCTCTTCATTAAGTCCTTGTGGCGATTGTGTATTAATGTACCCACAATGCTTCAAATCAAGATTGCTGCCTTGTTTATTGCAATGCACTTTCTCAATGCCCTGGAAGAGTAGACTAAAATAGTGTGGCTGAGTTTTAAAAAGTGTTTTGGTACAGGTGAAGTTAGATCCTGTCTCCAAGGTGTGCTTTTGTGTCGTAAAATCCAAATTTTCTGACGTGATTCTGCAGTTAAACAAATGGAGATTCAACTTAACAACAGTGCATTATATTTGACTTGGCATTAAATTAGGATCTGTTATAAAAGTTTAGCAAATAAATGCAACTGGTCGCTGAAAAACAATAATATAATCCATTAAAATAACTGAATTAGTGCAGTTTGCTGTGAACACTTGACTTAATCAGCCTTTTGCTATAAAATAAAACAAAACTCAGCTTGAAGATGAGCATGCAACAAATACCAAGATCACATAAAGCTAGGAACAAATTAGTACTGAATAAAACAACACAAAACTACATTTTTTGGACATTATATTAATAATAACTTTATTTATATCGCATGTTTCATACAAGAAATGCAGCACAAAGTGCTTTACAATAAGGCAGAGTGGACATGAAACAGACCAAGAAGGACATTTAGATACAATTTTATAAAAGAGAAAGTGAAAACAGAGCACATAGAAGGCATCATAGGTCAGTGTCAGCAAAACTATAAGTTATGAAATCATTAAATTGTAAAATCATGAAACAGTAAATCATAAAATAAAGGAAGATACAATATTTTAAAAGAACCGCAGCAGAGTGAGGTGTAAAAAGAAAGAGTTTCAGGCCTGTCTGAGGAAAGTCAGAGCTACTTAGAATGAGGTACAGTCAGGTCCATAATTATTTTGACAATGATACAGTTGTCGTCATTTTGGCTCTGTACACCACCACAATGGGTTTTTAATGAAACAATGAATACCTGCTTAAAGTGCAGACTCTCAGCTTTCATTTAAGACTTTTTTCAAAAATGTAGTATGAACCGTGTAGGAATTACAACCATTTCTTCACACAGTCCCCCTACTTTAAGGGCTCATAAGTATTTGGACAAATTAACATAATCATCAATTAAACAGTCAGTTTTAATACTTGGTTGCAAATCCTTTGCAGTCAATGACTGCCTGAAGTGTTGGACACATAGGCATCATCAGATGCTGGGTTTCTTCCCTGGTGATGCTCTACCAGCCCTTTACTGCAGCCGTCTGCACTTCCTGCTTGTGTTTTGGGTGTTTTGCCCTCAGTTTTGGCTTCAGCAAGAGAAACGCATGCTCAGTTGGATTCAGGTCAGATGATATGACTTGGCCATTGCAGAACATTCCACTTCTTTGCCTTAAAAATGTCTTTGGTTGCTTTTGCAATATGCTTCAGGTCAATGTCCATCTGCACTGTGAAGCATCGTCCAATGAGTTTTGAAGCATTTGGTTGAATCTGAGCAGATAATGGTGCCCCAAACACTTCAGCTTTCATCCTGCTGCTCTTGTAAGCAAGACAAGACTTCACTAGAATAAATACAGAGGGTTTATCACAAGATGCAAACCATTGGTTAGCCTTAAAAATGGAAGGCCAGATTAGAGTTTGTCAAAAACCATCTAAAAAGCCTGTACAGTTGTGGAACAGCATACTATGGACAGATAAAACAAAGATCAACTACCAGAATGATGGGAAGACAAGAGAAGGAAGAAGGGAAGGAACTGCTCATGATCCAAAGCACACCACCTCATCAGTGAAGCATGGTGGAGGTACTGTTATGTCATGGCCATGTATGGCTGCCAGTGGAACTGGTTCTCTTGTATTTATTGATGATGTGACTGCTGACAAGAGCAGCAGGATGAAAGCTGAAGTGTTTGGGGCACCATTATCTGCTCAGATTCAACCAAATGCTTCAAAACTCATTGGACGATGCTTCACAGTGCAGATGGACATTGACCTGAAGCATACTGCAAAAGCAACCAAAGACATTTTTAAGGCAAAGAAGTGGAATGTTCTGCAATGGCCAAGTCATATCATCTGACCTGAATCCAACTGAGCATGCGTTTCTCTTGCTGAAGCCAAAACTGAGGGCAAAACACCCAAAACACAAGCAGGAAGTGCAGACGGCTGCAGTAAAGGGCTGGCAGAGCATCACCAGGGAAGAAACCCAGCATCTGATGATGCCTATGTGTCCAACACTTCAGGCAGTCATTGACTGTAAAGGATTTGCAACCAAGTATTAAAACTGACTGTTTAATTGATGATTATGTTAGTTTGTCCAAATACTTATGAGCCCTTAAAGTCGGGGGACTGTGTGAAGAAATGGTTGTAATTCCTACACGGTTCATACTACATTTTTGAAAAAAGCCTTAAATGAAAGCTGAGAGTCTGCACTTTAAGCAGGTATTCATTGTTTCATTTAAAACCCATTGTGGTGGTGTACAGAGCCAAAATGACGACAACTGTATCATTGTCCAAATAATTATGGACCTGACTGTAGATGTGTTTTAGCTTTCTTTTAAGAATATGTTTTGGGCTGGCTTCCTGAAAATACCTGTTGGGTGTAACTGACAAAGGTCGCATCCCTGATTATCTTTTGGCTGTTGCTGGGGAGCTCCAATAAACCAGCAGCAGATGATCGCAGTGTTCTTGGAGGAAAATACTCAACAATGGAGTTAGCAGTGTAGCTTGGTTCTTGCACATTAAGGGCTTTGTATATAGGAAGGAGGACCATGAAATAAGTTTAAAAAGTTTTAGGAAGCTAGTGCAGGGCAGCTAAAACTGGACTGATGTGCTCTGTTGTAATAATAGCAATAATAATAATTTAAAAAAAAGTTTCTTTGGTCGTGAAAATTCGATCAATCTTTTTAAAATTGAGTGACAATGTGCTTCACAATAAATTAAAGTTGCAGTATAGGGCGTTTCAAACAACAAAACATGAATCAGAATTTTACATAAAACAAAATATTTCTGTAAGCAGGTAGGTCAATGAGATGCTTTAGAAAATAAAATCCATAATCATAACTAACTACAGCTTTGTTTCTTTACTCTGATAATCAGCCGGGCTCTCTCCATTTTCAGCTTTGTTTTCTTTTCTCCGTCTTTTCCTGTTTGAACATTGAGAGGACGTTTAGTGACAGTGTAACAGCAGACGCATAAAGATCATCGGTCAAAGGTTTACATGACACTACAAACAGCCTGCTGTGTTGCATGTGTAAATGATTAAGCCCTTTTATGACGCAGATGCACCGTAACATAAAAAACTGTAAATAGTAACCAATTATCAATATTCGTATACTCTGCTCACTGAAGTGAAAAGCAAGCATCCACACTGAAATATTCATTTGGATTATTTGCATTTCACTATTTTCTTCCAGTGACAGTGATGTAAGAGCTTCTCCTGACCTGATAATGATCTGACATAAAATGTAAAAAACAAACAAAACCACATTTCCTTCTGATTTGTGATCATATAGAATGTGGAGAGGACTTTGAACTTGTCACTGAAGCAACTTATTAACATTTAATTCTAAGTGCCTATAGCTGAAACCCAGACGTAAAGCTATGACCTTTGCAGTGGCTACATCTGCACGATGAATACTGTCACAAGTAAACATACAGTAAATCCAGTGTGTAAACTCACCCGCATATCAGCTGCATTTGTGAGATGGTCTCCGGCAAAGCCTTTCCAAACGTTTCTGGCAGCAGGAAACACAAGACAGCACCACAAATAGCAAAGCCTCCCATCAGTATATACGGGAGTGCCTTGTTGTATCGTCCTGCAAAAGATCAGCGAAAAAAGCAGTGAGAAAGGCGAAGAAAACACAAATTACACAAACAGCCTCTGAGTTGCTTGTACACCTGTACTGGAGGTGCAATTTTGATTAAAAAATTGCTTACTGCACAACTGATGTTGACAGACATAAGAAACTTGTCTCATACTAAAGGCACAGACAAGAGACCAGACTTCTCAGTGAAGTCGGACTGCAACAAGATGGAACGCCTTGGGGTCCCCCAGGAGGAGCTGGAAAGCATCGCTAAGGAGAGGGACGTCTGGGGTGCTTTGCTCAGCCTGCTGCCCCCACGACCCAGCCCCGGATAAGCGGATGAAAATGGATGGATGGATGGATTAATATGCCAGTTATTTTCATGGCATCCACAATTTCTCAGAGGCCTGTCTTTGTCTTCAATCAATCCAATCACCAGCAAATATGTGGCATTGCACATTTCTACAAACCACAGATACATCACTTTTGTACATTATTGCATTGAAGCTTTATGTTTCAACAACGCTGTGGTTAACATGTGGTTATGTTTAGGCACAAAAACCACTTGGTTATGGTTAGGAAAAGATCATGTCTGGGATTTTGGCGGCACAATCACAGATGGAGAAGCCGTCAAAGTCTTGGTAAAAAAAATGACCGAGACGCATGGCACTATCCTGGCTAGAAACGCAGCAATGTCTCGGCAAGAAACAATCAACTTGCGTGGCGCTATTCTGGCTGCAAATGCAGCATTTCCATGGTAAAAAATAGCCCTTTTTGCTGCACTATCCCTGGTGGAAAAACAGCAACAGGTTGCAGAAAAACATTCGGTGGCTAAAAGGACGATGAAAACACAGAGGTGACTGGCAGAAAACAGCTTGTTTTATTGTTGGTCTCTAACAGTGGTGTGCATATTGGCAGGCGTCATCCACCATCCCTTTGTTCTCTCTATGACAAAGTCAGCTCATACGCTACGTTATTTTAGAAATGTTGATTACATGAATAAAAGATATAAGTGTAACAAAATCGTGGTTTGCAGAGACGTACAATGCCAACATTTTTTTCTGGTGACTGTTTAAAACCTTCAGGTGTTCAATTTACCGTCAAAAATGACAAAGAAAAAGCAACTGGTTGTCACATTTGAGAAGCTGGAACCAGACAGTCTTTGGCATTTTTGCTTAAAATATGACTGTAACAGGGCTTTATTTGCTGTCACTCGACTAATCAACTATTGGACTAATTGTTGCAGTTCTCTACTGCAGAAATAATCAACATAATAAGAATTTTGTCTCAGAGAAATTGCCCTGGAACTGACTTAGAATAGAAAACTGATTACACTCCTTACCCAGATAAATGATAAAGGGGGAGACGATGGTTCCAATGCGAGCGGCCATGGAACAACACCCCATTGCTGTATTTCGGATAACAGTGGGGAAGAGCTCTGATGTGGTGGAGTACACCACACAAAATGCAGATGTTATGGCGAATTTCCCCAGTATCTCAAGGACCACAGGCACACTCTGTGAATCTAAGGGAAAGAAAACAAACAAATTAAAAGTCAAAAGAATTACATATACTGTATACAGTCCTTTGACGGAGCTTTGTTTTTACTTCCTCCATGTGAAAATTAGACATTTTATTTGCCAAATTATTTTATTTATGACCAAATACCTGCAAAACTGATGACATTTCCCATCAGCCTCAGCTGTAGTTTAGCCTATAGTTCCAATGTCCCCCCTTACTCCTGCTAAATCAGTGACAGCTAGGGGCTGTCCCACTGTGAAACCTGCACAGTGTTTGAGGTCTCTGTCACTGACTCTAAGTCTGACACCCTCCAGACGTTGCTTAAAGGAAATGCTTAGTGTTGTGACATTACAGCGGCATTGAAAGTGGAACTGAAACATTGACAAAACATGAAATGAGCAGGATGACATTTTCCTTTTAATGTGATTGCCTATGTTGTTAACCAGCACTACAGTATGTGTTGACTTTAAATATGTTAATTGAAAGAACAGCCTTACCCATAGGGATGAGATGGACACAGAGGATCATGAAGCCTCCAAGGAACAGTGTAGAAGATTGGCAGAAGTGCCTGGAGCAGTACTTGAGCAGTAACAAGGCAACAATGTAAGCCGGCACTTCTACCAGTGCAGACAAGAAGCAGTTTAGGTAAGGATCACCGTTCAGGTTTGAAGTGTTGAGGATTAAAGCATAGTAGCTAATGGTGATGATGATCCTGCGGAGATATTCAACACAACAAATTGAATAAGCATATGATGGGAGACACAGAAGACAAACAATTTTATATGCATCTGTAATAATAATCTTGCATGACCAACACTTGTAATTGTTGATTGTAATTTGGGCATGAGTTGTGTAAAGTGTGAGTGCTTAAAGGATTTATGCCATGAAGAAACTTCAGACGTACCACAGAAATGAACTCAGTAATATAAGAGAGAACATATTGCAGCTGCTCACGATAACTGAAATGTTGTATTTCTTGTCTTTCATAGCCAGTGAATCTTCTATCTGGGAAAAAAAACAAGGAGAAACAGTTGCAGCAGCCAATTCTGAATCTATGTAAATTAATACGAGGGAGCAGGTCCTTATATGTATATATGGAGATCGCCATGTTGTATTGCCATGTTTCTACAGAAGCTCAGAATGAACAAACCAAACACTGGCTCTAGACAGGGCCATTCCTATTTTTGTGCTGGCCACCATAGTTAGAGGCCCATCTATGATAAAAAATGTCAGAAATACACTGATTTGTAATGTGGAACTGCTAACATTAGTGTTTTTACCGGTTTAAATCACTGTTTCATTTGTTTTTCTTTCGATATTTCTGATTATTTAAACTTTGCAGTGTTAGTGGTGAAAGCAAACAAAGCTGTCCACTCATTATGAAATTCTCCACACACCCTGGCTGTGCTTCCTGAGGAGACTCAGGTCATTTGATGTTCATGGCCCTATGCTGAATGCCTTCTACCATTCGATTGTGGAGAGCGCCCTCTTTTTTGCAGTCTCATGCTGGGGCAGTGGGATGAAGGCTGGAGATGAGGACAGAATAAACAAGCTGCTGAAGAAGGCTGGGTCTGTGCTTGGGTCTAACTTAGACCCAGTGAGAGCGGTGGCTGAGAGGAGGATGCTTAAAAGACTTCTGGCCATCATGGACAACCCCTCTCACCCACTCTATGACACTGTGGACAGTCAAAGGAGTGTGTTTAGCGACTGCTTTATCCTGCCTCAGTGTTCCACAGAGAGACACAGACGTTCCTTCTTACCCACAGCCATGACACTGTACAATACACACATGTGCTGGGCACTGTGGTTCATGTTTATGCAGCAGTGCAAATTGCAAAAGGGCTGCATGAAGAGGAATATACACTGAATAAAAATATAAACGCAACACTTTTGTTTTTGCTCCCATTTTTCATGAGCTGAACTCAAAGATCTAAAACATTTTCTATACACACAAAAGACCATTTCCCTCAAATATTGTTCACAAATCTGTCTAAATCTGTGTCAGTGAGCACTTCTCCTTTGCCGAGATAATCCATCCCACCTCACAGGTATGGCATATCAAGATGCTAATTACACAGCATGAATATTGCACAGGTGTGCCTTAGGCTGGCCACAATAAAAGGCCACTCTGAAATGTTCAGTTTTATCACACAGCACAATGCCACAGATGTCGCAAGTTTTGAGGGAGCGTGCAACTGGCATGCTGACTGCAGGAATGTCCACCATAGCTGTTGCCCGTGAATTGAATGTTCATTTCTCTACCATAAGCCGTCTCCAAAGGCGTTTCAGACAATTTGGCAGTACATCCAACCGGCCTCACAACCGCAGACCACGTGTAACCACACCAGCCCAGGACCTCCACATCCAGCATGTTCACCTCCAAGATCGTCTGAGACCAGCCACCCGGACAGCTGCTGCAGCAATCGGTTTGCATAACCAAAGAATTTCTGCACAAACTGTCAGAAACCGTCTCAGGGAAGCTCATCTGCATGCTCGTCGTCCTCATCGGGGTCTCAACCTGACTGCAGTTCGTCGTCGTAACCGACTTCAGTGGGCAAATGCTCACATTCGATGGTGTCTGACACGTTGGAGAAGTGTTCTCTTCACGGATGAATCCCGGTTTTCACTGTTCAGGGCAGATGGCAGACAGCGTGTGTGGCGTCGTGTGGGTGAGCAGTTTGCTGATGTCAACGTCGTGGATCGAGTGGCCCATGGTGGCGGTGGGGTTATGGTATGGGCAGGCGTATGTTATGGACAACGAACACAGGTGCATTTTATTGATGGCATTTTGAATGCACAGAGATACCGTGACAAGATCCTGAGGCCCATTGTTGTGCCATTCATCCACGACCATCACCTCATGTTGCAGCATGATAATGCACGGCCCCATGTTGCAAGGATCTGTACGCAATTCCTGGAAGCTGAAAACATCCCAGTTCTTGCATGGCCAGCATACTCACCGGACATGTCACCCATTGAGCATGTTTGGGATGCTCTGGATCGGCGTATACGACAGCGTGTTCCAGTTCCTGCCAATATCCAGCAACTTCACACAGCCATTGAAGAGGAGTGGACCAACATTCCATAGGCCACAATCAACAACCTGATCAACTCTATGTGAAGGAGATGGTGGGCACACCAGATACTGACTGGTTTTCTGACCCCCCCCAGTAAAGCAAAACTGAACATTTCAGAGTGGCCTTTTACTGTGGCCAGCCTAAGGCACACCTGTGTAACAATCATGCTGTCTAATCAGCGTCTTGATATGCCACACCTGTGAGGTGGGATGGATTATCACGGCAAAGGAGAAGTGCTCACTGACACAGATTTAGACAGATTTGTGAACAATATTTGAGGGAAATGGTCTTTTGTGTGTACAGAAAATGTTTTAGATCTTTGAGTTCAGCTCATGAAAAATGGGAGCAAAAACAAAAGTGTTGCGTTTATATTTTTGTTCAGTGTAGATACAAATGGAAACATGTTTCTTCATTGTTATCTGGACGGTGCAAATTCACACAGCAGCACAAATCTGCAGCCAAAGGCAGATGGTGTGGGTTTATATTTAACTTGTACAATGATGATACAAATAAATACAATTAAGATAAAGTCGTTTATATGACACTATTTTTGTTTTAATTATACTATATCTCATGTCATTACTGACTAATACAGAGGCTATGAGACCTTCTTTGAGTGAACCTCCCCCTAACATGCACCTCTCCTCCATTGCACACCATGCACTCTGAGCTGAGAACCAAATATCTCACAGGAACACTGCTACAAATGACAAAAGCTTTGTTTTATTTTTAAACTACTCAACATAGTGCCTCCGAAGCAAGTGCACTGTACGTTTATTATGTGTTAGGAATAAAAGCAGCTTACCTCAGCTTCTGTAAAAATGGCCTTTGGAGCCTCTACGTTATTGATCTTGGCAGCGTCTCTCAGTATGGCCTCAGCCTCCTTCATCCTCCCCTGATAGAGCAGCCAGCGAGGGGACTCTGGGACTAACCTGGAGGGTTGAAACAGAGATACAACATTATCAGCACATGCATGCAGAGACACAAGACCTAGTGTGCTCAATCAAAGCAGCCTCTGTTCCTTAACCATGACCTCAAAGGGCCTGACCACACCAGCAACTGAAGCAACAAGCTGCTCACCAAATGCAAACCATTCTGACAAAGCATACCTTTAAGGGAAACAATATGGAAGAAAGTATCATCAGCTGTGTGCACAAAGCCCCACAAAGCTGAGATTTTGCGATAGTGTTTTATCACAGTAAGTGTTGGTTTTACAAGATGATGATGATGATGAATGAATGAATGCCCGTCTGGTTAGCCACCATCAATTATACAGGAACATGGGGTGTTAAACACATCATGCAAGAAATGTAAAGGTTGCTGAAGCTGAAATGCAATGTATGAATATTCTTACCACCACATAGGGATGTAGATCAGGCCAGAGGCAGCCATGGGAATCAGCAGCATCCGCCAATCACGGAGGAAGTAAGCCACAGCTGGCATTAACATGTAACCCAAAGCAGAGCCCATAAAAACCCCAAGGGAGCAGAAGACCACTCTGGATTTGGTGCTTAGAATTTCTGAACCTGTAGCCGTAACAGATTGAATGAGAACTTATCAATATAAAATTTTATCTTAGTTCTTAGTTATCCTTTGCGAACAAGAAAATAATTTGTTTCCAAAAGTTTATAACTTGTTCCCACAAGATTATAAACTACTTTTTCCACTTTGGGCCTCAGTAAGAGCCAGAATATTTGTGGGAACTGGATTTTTTTCCTGTTTTACCTGCCAGGTCAGATGAACCATTGTGACATACAGTACCTAACAAGCTGTATGAAATATTGCATGTTCGAAATCCTCAGTGGCAAACATACCCAGCACAAATGCGATGGTATAGTTGGAGTATCCCCCTCCACCCACGAAGAAGAAAATGAGGGTGAAGATCTCCCAGTTTGGGGAAAATATCTGTGCTGTGATCGCCACAGTCTGAAGAGCCATCGTGAGAAAGAGTGATACCCTCCTTCCAAACCTGTGTAAGACATACAGTTTGTACTTGAGTAAGTTAAATTTTCCTTCACTTCAAAATTAGACTGTTAAAATTTTCAGACAATGTTGCGAACAGTACGGACCTGTCAGACATCTGGCCTGTGATAAATGCCCCCACTAGTACACCAACGTACTGAATAGAGGTGGCTAGTGGAGTTTTGTATGCATTCTCACATACCAAGTCCCACTGTGAAATCAATGCATTTTATCAGTCTTTTGTTGTAAAAAAACAGTGGATCCCACTTTTGTGATAATGAAATGAAACTTATAAGCACATTTTAGAGTGATAAAATTAGTACTAGTACTAGACCTAGCAGTTGCAGTAGTCACAAGAATAATACTATCAGTCTTATTAAGATGTAGTTGCAATGTTATCAGTAGCATAGTGCTAGTAATAGTGGCAACAATAACACAGGTGACACTTTTGTGCCAGAAGTAGCAGCAGCATAATAAGCAGCTGTCATAGTAATCACATGGAGGGTACTATTACTCCCAGAAGTAGAAACAACATGAGGATAAGTATGTATTCTAGCTTCTTTTCTATTTTAAAATGCTCTCCGACACAGTTTTACACTAAAATAATGACACTAAATACTAAATATGCAAAACTAAAAACAAAGATTGTAGTGAGTCTTTTTTTAGTTGATTATATTAACTGACTGAAAACTAAACGTGAAAAGGATAGTTTTTACCATTTCATTGTGGAAACCTTACAAACATGTTTAAAGGGAAGTTAACTGATGACTCATTGCTCACCTCTGTGACAATGGTTGACTGGTAGGTTTCTTTGCTGTATGTCCATCCATCCCGACAACTCTCCAAAGGAATCTCACTCACATTCACATCCACATTTGGGATGATTTTATTTTGAGAGTAGTTCCTGACGATTTCCAGGTTAAGCCTTGAGCAAGAGCTACGCTTTTCAATGCCATCTACTGTTTCCAGTGGGATGGTCACATTCCTCCACATCTCACTGATGTTGTAGTTCTCAGGGATAGAGCACTCGTGAGGCGGGGTATCACCTATGAATACTATATAGCTGCCAAAGAACCCATTTGGGATGATGCTGATGGCCAGTGCTAAAAAGATCCTTAGCTGAAACGGCCCCCAAGATCCAAGAAAAGATGTGATGCTGTCATAGTCTCTGATTTTTTCGCTACCCATTGATATTTTTAAAAAGAAAAGAAGGAAAAAAGACAAGCAGACGCTACGTCAGTACTGACAGGCACGAGACAGAGTGTGTTCTACTGCTCTGTGACATGCATATAAGCTATAAAGCCAAGCTCAGGTCACTTGAGCTCAGACCTTTGAATCCGCCCACTCTACTGAGTTGACAGTTTCTTCTGGCATCATGAACAGAAACAGTGGTTTCAAAAGGCAATCTATCCAAAAAGGGCTGCTGCATGGGGACTAATGATTAATCAATCAGTGGCATGGGTGGGACTAACATTTTTACTTTTAGCTACTTTTAAAACCCCAGCAAAACTAGTGTGTTGGCATTGCAAGGCATCAGTGTGGACTTGAAATGATGTTAGATTCAGACGAATACTTTGACTGCCAGTGACTGGTAAGGGGGACTCGAATTCTCCTTCCCCATGGAAATCAGTTAGAGTGGAGGCAATGCCAGACTGAAGATGGAAATATCAAGCAGGAGCTCAGGTTTTATATCAGCTTCACCCGAGCCAGGAAGTTACTCAGTTACATAAAGCTCTATAAAAAAACAAAAAAAAAGTAGAACACTGTATCAGTGTAGGTTTGGTTTGGCATCAGCTGCAGGTGTAGAGAGGGTGCAGCGACTCAAAGGTCAATGTTTACATGTGCTTAAATGCCACAGTGAAGCTGAAGGAGGCCTCACCTGCCAGTTTGTGTCCACACCGTCCATCCAAGTCCTCCAGGTGGTCATAGGTGTCACAATGGTGGTCCAGGCAGCAAAGGATGGACGGACTCCCTAGCAACCTGCTGCTGAAATCTCAGCTGCGGCAGACCGTGCGCCGTCTTGCTGACATCCAGGATAGGCAGACCCACCTACAACATCAGCAGATACAGGCCGTCCACCTTCTGTCTCAGGCGCTGCTTGAAATGACAGGACGGCAGACTGGGGATGGGGCTCCTCTGATTGAGTGGCTGAATGTCTTTACATGTGGGCAAACTGTGCATACTGTCAGCTCAGGGGACAAAGCATAGCATCTTGAGGCTATGGTTATTTTCTGCCTGTTGCGACTTTTGTTATTTGGTACTAACTTGGTAGTAAGTGACCAGGGTTTGATAAAGGGTTTAAACAGAGCATGGGTGTGCATCCATGACAAACAGGAAAGTGTGATTAGCACTGATTAGGACAGGTTATAAAGAGTGAGTTATGATGCTCATACTGTTGCAGATAACACTCTGCTGTTGGTGCCAAAAGCTGCCACGCAGCTGGTTACAACAACCGGCCACTTCAAAAGCACCTTTATTTCTAATCAAGGTTCCTTTTGAACATATTGCTGTGGACATTTAAGGCCATTAAACCAGAGCATATGAGGATATCACATTGCGTTAGTCATTGTTGATTAGCTATGTTGAAGCCGTAGCACTGTGCAACATCTCCACCAACGTGTTGCACAGGCATGGTTTCAGAGGAGCTGTCCATCTGAGCCGTCACAAACACCACTTGAGCTTATGCAAAATTTGTTGTGCGACAAAATACTTTCAAGTATATACTATATATAGTTTAATTTATATGTTTCTATCAAACTCAAGCAATAATAAAAACATAGGATTTGAAATATCATGCCCAGGTGATGATATAATGCCATGCAATAAAATAACATTCAAGGATCCTTGAGAAGGGAGTTAATCATTGTCACGCAGAGGTTAAACAGTAATAAAGACAGACAGTGTCATTTCAAATGATGCTTGAGTTGTATTTTTGCTACAGATGGTTTAAAGATAAAGTAGTTATGACTCCTTTGCTTAGCTGCTCATTTGTGGTCTGCTAGAAGCTATTACAGATTCCTGCAGGACGGTGTCCTGTGAGGATTTCTTTTCACTTCTTGACTGTTTTGACACATATAATTAAGCAGGCTTGACATAAATCAGATTTTATACAGTTTATACTGTGATTTCATACACAGTAACATTTGTGAATGTTCTGTTTCCTGTTAATATTTGGTTTGGCAGATCATGTTTTATAGCCAGTGACATGGAAATATGTCATACTGTGGGATATATCTAAATGGCACCACTGCAAAGATCAGCACAAGGTAAAGGTGCTATACATTTTACAGTATGTACAACACATGACTCAAAGGACAGAGGGGTGTCGCATGCTGTAAAGCCCTGTGAGGCAAATTGTGATTTGTGATATTGGGCTTTATAAATAAAATTGATTGATTGAAACTGACATGGATTTATTAATAATGTATTCATTTGAAAACATTACCTTGTTACATGCTGTGTGCTCCTGAACTGTGAGTTTGTCACCATTAACTTGTGTACCAAAAACTAAAATATATGTCATGTCATGTGATTTGTCGCATTTTTGTGTGATATTCTGTCAACTTTCTGTTCTTGCGTTTGGGTCCACTCACTTGTGTATGGTAAGTTATCAGCCCTGGTGTATTTAAAGCCCAGTGTTTCTCCCATTCAGTTGCCAGATTGTCATTATCGCTCTATGGTGTGTTCATGCTCTCCAGCCCTTTCCTTGTGTTTGATTCCTTGGTTTTTGACTCTACTTGGATTTATGGACTTTGCTGTTTGTGGGATTTCCCTGAATGGACTCTTCTGCCTTCGCTGACTGCCTTCACGTGTTTGACCTCTGACCTTTGTGTTATTCTCTGCGACTGAGTCCCAGTTTTGTACTAAATCATTACATTTTGCAATTTAATTACATTTTTTAACAAAGGTACAATCTCACCACATCATGCACAAACCAACTGGAATATCAAATCACCCTCGTACAACTCTTCAGAACAGAGGGATCCTTCTCTTTGTCACTGCATGATCATTTGTGGGAAAGTGACCAACTCTGAATACCAACTGCAGATTTTAAACTTGGATTCATTTGTATTCTTCTCCCAGTTTCAATGGGTGAATTATAGTGTATGTGCTGTATGTTATTGTTCAGTAAGCAGCATATAACATGTTAATAAATGAGCTTTAGAGGTGCTGATAGATACATTTTGTTAACTTTGGACAGAGCCATGCTAGCTGCTTAGCTGCAGCCTCATATTTACTGTACAGACACTAGAGCAGTATAGTTTTACTACAGAGCTCGCTTCATAAGCCTCTTTTCACCTGGAGCAGCAATGATATCTCAGAAACATATTAATTCAGGATCTTTTTTTGTTAAAAGACAAAAACAACTCAGGCTGTGCTTTGAGGGTTCATATGTTCATACTTTAATTATGTATGACAAAAATTAGAGACCAATCAGACACATATTTCAATTTCATACAAACATTCTAAAAAAAATTCTTTGAAACATTTCTAAAAAAGGTTCTTAGCAAGCTTTTAGCAAGTTTTTAAAAACAAAATAAAAATATAAAAAACTGAACAGGTCCTGCCAGTGGACATTTGGATCCCACTGTGCAACTTTTTTTGGATTTTATATTCAGATTTCTGATTATTACTTTCAAGCAAGATAACTCCATTGAGAAAAAACTACGAGTCTGCAAATCAGACTTTGGCCTCACGTTGTATGGGTTGGTTCCTCCTTCCTTCATCTTCTACATATTTCGTCTTTCTGAATCCATGACACAACCTGTAATCAGAAGAAACACAATTACCTCAGATACATAAATGGCAGCTGATATATTTATATGTTCGATCAACCAATCTTGACCATTTTGCAAATTCTAACAAGATATTTTATCCCTGTAAAGCTCTTTCTAGGATGAGTACTAAAGCCCCTCTAACTGTGAGGCTATTAGTTCAGTCCCTCTGTGACTTAATGAATCTAAGTCTTAATGAATCAAGTACATTGCAAAACAATTTTGTTATGGTGACCTGAAAAACATGCAAACTTCAGCGATGAGTAAAATGAACCTACCCTTGGCATTCTTGCATCTGCTCCACTGTTTCTGGAAGATCTCTATTGAGGGTTTCCGGAAGGAAGAAGTTTACCACAGAGGAAGCAATCGTGAGACTTCCCATGAGGATATAAGGCAGAACCTTATTATAAGTACCTGTAAATAACAAACAAGCATAACTGCACATTAGAAAATGACAAGCATTGACTATATTTGTACGCATCACTGTATTATCCTGCGCAGATCTTTTGTGTTCTTTTAAATTATATGAAAGCAGTTAATACGCAGTAGCCATGTGAGATGCAGTACTTAACATCTACGCACCTAAATAGATGACATAAGGAGCTGTGATGCTGCCAATGCGTGCAGCAGAGGAGCACATTCCAATGCCGACGTTCCTGAGTACCGTGGGGTAAATCTCAGCAGTGTAGATGTAGACGATGCTGAAGCACATGGTGAAGCCAAACTTCCCGGTCATTTCCAGCGCCAGAGCAACATACTGAAGGGCTGTGGATAAGAGAGAGAAGTGTGTTATGAATCTAGTCCCCAAATTTTGTAAAACACCTCATCTTTCAGGATAAAAAAACCAGGTCAGAAAATAAAACATTCAGGTTTTCTTAAAGGTCCAGTGTGTGGGATTTAGGGGCATCTATTGGCAGAAATGGTGTATGAGTTTCATAACTATGTTTTCTTTAGTTTATAATCACCTGAAAATAAGAATTGTTGTGTTTCCATTACCTTAGAATGAGCCGTTTCTATCTACATACAGAGTGGATCCTCTTTGTCCACCATGTTTTTCTACAGTAGCCCAGAAAGGACAATTTAAATGCTGGCTAGATATTGGCACTAGAGAGGGACATTTATCCTTTTGCATTTTAATGTCAGCCACCATAGTTCTCCTTGGCACATGGGAGAAGTTTCACTTTTGCAACAAAATCCTACACACTAGACCTTTAAGCAGAGCAGGAACTAAATCTCAACAAGTTATATTTATTTTGTAAGGTACACTGGTTAAAATGCATCTGGTTTTGACTTCAGGTTTTTCATTGAGGCAGAAAGGCTTTTATATAAGTTGCTCTGCCATTCTCTTCAACCATTGTTGGTGTGTTCTTGGAAAAAGAAATGATAACAGGCAAAGTACATATTATGACTTTCTCCGGTTGCAAAGTAACACAGTAACTTTTTTCCAGGTGTTACATCACCTTAGTGGAGAGGGTATGCTGCTCATGTATTCATCATGATTCCTCTCCTCTGTTAAAGTGCTTAAACATTAATTAACGTGTGATAAAACCGCCTGCAATCAAATGTCTAAGTATCTTTTTCTTCTTCTAAAAAGTCTGTCCAGGCACCATGTGACAAGCTTTGTATAGTGTGCGGCAGGTTGACCATCATCTGCTCTCATTAAAATTGAAAAAATGGACAGAATGAGATTTATGATTGGACAAGGGTCACAAAGAAGGCAAATGTGTTTCTACACTCAAGGATAAGGACTGAAAATGTGTTGTGTTGCTTATAAGAAAGCCTGATGGTGCTGATAGCTGAGTGCACATTGCTGCAAAGTACATGTGCCTACTAGGAAGCAGCTGCTATTAAAGAGTCAGGTCATCCAAATTACAAATATATGTATACAGCAAACATGGCACGGTCATCATGTTTTTATGTATTACAATATATATACTTTGTCAGCTACCTCTTGTGATATTATGATAGAAATCTCAGAAGAAACATGAGGAAAACCAAACACATCTGCATGGCTTTTGTAATACATATTTGCACTCCTCTGAAATATGCTGTCATGTAACTGAGAATAATCATTACCCATAGCTGTGGTGTTTACAGTCCCTAAAAGTTTTAGCTGCAGTATAAGCTATTATCGCTGTCTGAGAAGATAAGATAAGATAAGATAATCCTCTCTTTGTCTCACAGCGGGGAAATTTGCAAGGCAGTGCGAATGAAGTACAGTCTTACTATCAGGGATGAACTGGATTAGAAGAAGAAGTCCTCCTCCAAGGCTGAGGAATGTTGACAGAAGTGCTCTTCTTGGACATTTCTTTAGCAGCCAGGTAGAAACGACATAGGCAGGGACCTCAGTAGTAGCTGACAAAAAACAGTTCATGAAGGGGTCACCACTCAGATTGGAGGTGTTCAGGGATAATCCAAAATACCCAATGTTTATTGCCATCCTGGAAAAAAAAAGAAAAAAGCTTCTTCGTATTATCAAATAATTCCCAATTTTCCATTTGGTTTTTCATTGACTGGTAACCTTGGTTTTCAATTCATATTATGCATAGCAACATCTAATGTGAATGATGACCATTAGAATCAGAATGAGAAAAATAACAACCACTCACCACAAAAGGAGACACATCAGTGTGATGCATCTGATGTTCTTGTTTTTTAGAACATCAAGCATGGAGTATTTCCTGCTTGGAGTCAGTGAATGGAGCTGAAATCAATGCAAGCAAGAGAATTCATGTTGTTACATTTTCTTGACAGACACAGAATATCTCAAGTGTGTTATGAGAGCATTCTATTGACTTGTATCTGATTACATTTATCATCTTTTGGAAAGGTTCAGTGTGTAAAATTTAGGGGGATTTAGTGGCATCTAGTGGTGAGGGTTGAAGATTGCAACCATCTGAAACTATTCCAGATTAAAATTCCCTCAGTGTTCATTGATTGGGAAGCTTTTAGCAGGAGCCGAATTATCCAAAGAGGTCTCTTCCTTCTTAAAACAAATGGATCCGGTGATTTAAACCAGTAAAAACACTGAAAAAAGCAATTTTAATGTTAAAAATCAATGTACTTCTGATGCTACTTATCACTGAGGGGCTTCTAACTATGGGGGCCAACGTGAAAACAAGAAAGCGTGGATGGCTCTATCTGGAGCCAGTGTTTGGTTTGTCCATTCTGGGCTACCGTGGACACATGGCGGTGAACATGGCGATTTCCATAAATGAGGCCCCACTCCCTACGGTGATATAAACAGCTTTTTCTAAGGCAAGGAAAACACAATAATTCCTACTATCTACATACAGAGTGGATCCTCTTTGTCCACCATGTTTTTCTACAGTAGCCCAGAAAGGACAATTTAAACACTGGCTAGATATTGGCACTAGAGGGGGACATTTATCCTTTTGCATTTTAATGTCAGCCACCATAGTTCTCCTTGGCACATGGGAGAAGTTTCACTTTTGCAACAAAATCCTACACACTAGACCTTTAAGCAGAGCAGGAACTAAATCTCAACAAGTTATATTTATTTTGTAAGGTACACTGGTTAAAATGCATCTGGTTTTGACCTCAGGTTTTTCATTGAGGCAGAAAGGCTTTTATATAAGTTGCTCTGCCATTCTCTGTTTCAAGGAAAACACAATAATTCCTACTTTCAGGTGATTATACACTAATGAAAGCATACCTATTATATCATATTCCATTTCTGCCAACATATCCCCCTAAATCCTACACACTGGACCTTGAAGCTGTAACTGTGAAGGAGATTAAAATTAAAACGTCACAAATGTACGTGAACCATACCTCAGATTCTTTAAAGATCACAGGTGGTGCTTCAACCTTATTTTTCCTTGCAGCATCCCTCACAATGGCCTCAGCCTCCTCCACTCTTCCCTGAGTAATCAGCCACCGAGGAGACTCTGGGATTAACCTGCATGACCAATACAAGTTAACCACAAATGTCAACAAAGTATGTTGTATTTAATGACCACATCTTGCTGTTAAACCAGGGACGCTGACTATGGGCATATTTTATTCATGCACAAAATAGGACTTAAGAAAATAAAGACTGTTACGAGTGACGTACCACCACAGTGGGATGTAAACCACAGACGTTGAGGACAGAACGGCGAGCAGAGTCCTCCATTCTCGGATTCCGTATGCAATCCAAGGTAGCGTCATGTACCCGATGCAATAGAAAAGGAAGGCCCCGAGAGTTGTGAAGAGCACTCGCATAGTTTTACTCAAAAGCTCTGTTCCTGTCAGAGATAAAGTTGTAAAAGTTCAGCAATAAGCATGAGATTAAAAACAGATAAACCAGCAGATAGTGAAAGTCATGCTGAAATATGTCAAGACTGCTAATGAGACCGAACAATTATTTTACAATCCATACCTAGTACAAATGCAGAAATATACATGGATATCTGGGAGGCTCCAACAAAGAGGAACATGACGCAGAACATCTTCCATGAATGAGAGAAGGACTGAAGCAGCACTGAGACACACTGGGCTGCAAGAGAGATGAAAACAACCTTCTTCCTCCCAAACCTGAATGAAAAAAGAACTTTGTGTCAATGACAGTGATTCACAGATATGGTGTGTGTGGAAATATGGTGACAGTGACATCTTGGTGACTGCTTTGTCTCTTTTTTATAATAAAATCCCTTGTTTGAGGAGCATGCAGCTGGGTAGTGGGCATGAACAGCCACAGAGTGTTTGTGTGTGTTTGTTTCACTAGCTGAAGACCAGAGTGAAGGCAAAAAGGCAACTAAACAAGCAACAAGTGAAGACATCTGTGGCACAGACCAGGCAGAACATCAGCTCAGGAAGATACCAGGTGTCTGCTGATGTCTGTGAGTAGCAGACTGAAGCAATAACTTTTGCCAACCCAATACAATATATTTTAACTTTATTTAAGTTTAGATTAACTTGGTTGATATCACTTTTTGTCTCCTTAATCTGAGGACTGCTGCATGTGTAAAAAGGTCTTCAGTTCTTGCACTGTTGATGCTGGTATTGTGGATTTAACACGCTCAAATTGATGTTGAGGGTCAGCACTTTACCCTCACAGTCTGTGGCATTTCCTGTAAAACGTGACTTTACGTAACAATATTCTAAAAATGGTGTTGCATATTCATGCTAGGAACTGGAAGCTTCTTGCAACTTGGCTGCATTAAATCAAAACGTTGTTCAACCAGGTTTATAGCCATGCAAAATGCTGATAACATGCCGCATGACTTTTGATCAAGTACAGCTGTGAGTGACCGAAATCTAGAGCAGCTGAATCATTTTTGGCAAAGGACTTTGCACAGGCAGAAAATGATTTACAAATTACATAAAGGCAATAACTTTCACCGTTATCTACCATGCACTGCAAACGGTGCTTTGTGTAATTTAAATGCTTGAAATGTTTAACAGTAACAGTGATAATATTCATGCCACTTCCCAGAAAAACTAGTTACATGTCTGATTTTATTGTATAATACTGTAACAAGATGCTGTGCCCTTGACTTCTCAGCCATTCTCTCTCAATCCAGTCCTTGCAGGTGGCCACAGTACCACAACCCCAGAACCTAAACACTGCAAACTGGTTTGTTGCTTGACCTGAAAAGGGGAATGTTAGGAGAGACTAGTTTAACTGAGCTTCTTAACAGAAACTACACATCCTGAACTGGCAACTTACAGGTACACACTTGAGCTTTAATTTAGTTTTAATCACCCAGTGTGACACATTGATCAAACAGCTTCAAAGGCCCTCCCCCTGGTGGCAAAGTTTGCACAGCTGCAGAAGAGCTACATAGTTAAACACACAAAGGCATCAGGTTTATTTTGCTTTGATGACTTGCTCGCTGTACATTTTCCCTCACTACATAATAGAGCATAGTGCCCTTCAGGACATGGTTATGTGGTCTTATAATTAGGGATGCTTGATGCTGGATTTTTATCTGATATGCTGATATTTAACAACTCATTTGACGGATAACGAATACTGATATATCCACTTTTATTCCCTACCTAACTTCAGTGATCATCAGGTCTCATCTGTAGTGGAATTAACATCATATCATGCATGCATAATCTTATTGTGATGGCCCACCAGCAGATAGGGACATGGGTTACAATACTTTTCAGTGTATGGAATATTCAGTCATTGTGCAAATAAAGAAAAGGCATGCTACATTTTAAAGCCGATATCAATGACATACCAATATTATCAGTATGTTGGCCAATTCCAGTATTTAATTTTAAAGCCAATATCCAATGATGTGCGGATATTATCGTGCATCCCTTCTTATAATATCAAACTCTTCCTATAGAGGATGAAGTCCAACAGACTCATCATCTCAGCACACATGATAACACAATCCACCATAATTTTAACACATATCTGCCCTTGTAGACATTGTAAATCCCTTCCTGGTACACAGCTCCTGGCTGAAGATGATAATGTCTTCTCCTGAAGTGGCAACAAACAGGTGTACTCTTCTTTAATTTAGTATTTATAATCACCCAATGTGACACAATGGCCACAAAAGCTCGATAACCTCAATGCTCAAACACCCTTTTTTCCAGGCTGCAAAAGACCTAAAAAGTTAAACACACAAATGCTCCACACTGCTGTGTCCTGAGCCCCATGCTTTTCCACAACCAAAGGTACACAACACCAGTATCTGTCAGAGCAGAGTGCTTAACATCGACGACTCTTAAAGACAAAGGTGTTTTGATTCTCTGGAAACCGACACTGAAAGACGGGCGATGACTTTAAAGTAGGAGACTTCTCTCTCAGTGAAAACTTGCCTTCCATTGGAGATCAGCTTTAACAGTAGATGGAGCTGTTGTCATTATAATGGAAGCCTATCAAGTCTCAGGCCCCTCTACTACAGTGTGAAAGCCTCACTTGCTTAATCAATGTTTTTCAGTTTCTATGAGCATTTTCCAAAATGTTACCAATGTTTCTTGAATAAAAATGTCTAACATATGCAGTAAATGACAAAAACTGTTTTACTAAACATAAAGTACATTTAAAGTTCATATTAGACAATGACATAAATACATTCAAGGGAATTTTACTGATACCTGTCAGAAAGCTGGCCTGAGATTAGGGACCCAAAGAGGTATCCCACAAAGAGAGTCGAGGATGCAAAGGGAACTTTCCACTGGTCGTCACAAACGAGGTCCCACTGTGCAAAATGTGAATTACATGCATATTTTAAACAAACAACAACAAAAAAATCCCATATTAAACACTTGTACACTCACATTCATACTGACCTCAGTGACTATGTTGGATTGGTAGATCTCTTTGCTGTAGCTCCATCCATCTAAACATTTCTCCAGCTCCAGGTTAGTGAGGTTGACGTCCCTTCCAGGAATAAATCCTTGAGCAGAGAGATTTCTCACCACATCCAGCTTGTATCTGCTGCACTGGGTCTGCACCTCCACGCCATCCACTATTGTAACAGGAATAATGGCATTTTTCCACTCCTCGGTTAAGTTCACGTCCGGAATGAGGCAGTGATGTGTAGGAGCTGACCCGATAAAGACCATGTAAAGTCCGTTGAATCCAGTCGAGAGATAAACTGTGTTAAGGAGGAAGAATGTGGTCCAGAAATAAGGACCAGTCTGTCCGAGGAATGCAGTGTCTTCATCATAGTCTCCCATTCTTTATATAAAAAAAATACCTCCCTGCTCTTGAGGGAGAAAAAAAAATCCTCTGAAATTCTTCAGAGTATGAGCCTTGGTATCCCTCTTAAAGTCTTGAGCTTTGTACCAGAGTGTTGGGTTTGAGCCCTGTGTGGAGCAGAGTGAGCTGGTCCCTCAGTGGGACGGAGTCACAAGTGAAAAACTTTGGTTTGAAGTCCTGAGAGAGTATTAAACATTCTTTCAAGGGGATAACCTTTCCATCCCAGAGTGCCACTGGATCCACTGTCTCTCAGTTTATGAGCAGACAGGGATGCTATTTATCTGAGGGTAGTGAATGAGAGTCCTCTCACTCATTGATTTGATTTAATTCACTTGAAGCAAAATGATCAAAAGCACCCCCGCACCCACCCCTCGGGTCTGAGTGGTGTTTTCTCTAAACAACATTCCACACTTTTAAATACCCCAAAGACGAGCACGTGCTTGTACTCTAAATGTTGCTAAGTAGCATTAAGACTCCTTGGGCTATTTTTAAGTCACACTGCAGAGGCAAGCATGCCTTCATGTAAAAGTTCAGCAGAAATTGTTGCAATCCTGTACATGGGCTTTGAATTATGTAATTAATATTTTGCTACTAAAATGGCTCATTTACAAACAATTTAAAAAACAAAACAAAAACACCCTTTGTTTTCAAGTAGCCTAACACATTTTTAGTCTGTTAAATGTGTTCAGTGAATGCTCCGATCACACAGACAGGGTTTTGCAGGTTGCAAGACCTTTTTTAATCTAAGGCCACTTCGCCTTTTTATTGTTGCTAGGCAACCACACCATCACCTCCCTACCCTAACCTTCCCGTGTAATCAATCTACAGTTTATTATTCATTCATTCATCTTCTAACCGCTTCATCTTCTTGAGGGTCGCAGGAGGGCTGGAGCCTATCCCAGCTGACATCAGGCGAGAGGCAGGTTACACCCTGGACAGGTCGCCAGACTATCACAGGGCTGACACATAGAGACAGACAACCATTCACACTCACATTCACACCTACGGAGAATTTAGAGTTATCAATTCAGTTTATTATTATCTATTATTATTATTATTTTATTTATTTCAGAGTAATTGGTAGCTAGTTACTAAAAATGAACAGGCAGAGGGTACATACTGTAGCTCTGGTTGGGGGTGAGAGGCTGTTAGTAAGTAGTTTGTGGGTCACAAGCAGAGGTGAGTAGTAACTAGATACATTTACTCAGTTACATTTACTTGAGTAACTTTTTGGATAAATTGTACTTTTCAGAGTAGTTTTAATGCAAAATACTTTTTATTTTTACTTGAGTTATATTGTTTTAAAGCAACAATACTCTTACTTGAGTACAATATTTGGCTACTCTACCCACCCCTTGTGCCTTGATTTATGTTATGTTTGTAAAGATTTAATTTATTTTGTTTTAGTTAAAGGGGTATCGTTTAAAATACATGAATTTGCAGATTATTATTTTTGATTGATTACGTTCATGTTCTTATTTTACAAATAAATCAGACGTTACTCAACAGTTACTCAGTACTTGAGTAGTTTTTTCACCAAATACTCTTTTACTCTTACTCAAGTAATTATTTGGATGACTACTTTTTACTTTTACTTGAGTAATATTGTTCTAAAGTATCAGTACTCTTACTTGAGTACAATATTTGGCTACTCTACCCACCTCTGGTCACAAGGAAATGAAGATCTGTGTGGGTACATGAGACCCTAAAAAAGAGGGTGGATCATGGTGAATAACATCAGTTTCTTCTCCACCGTTTACCCACTGTAAACTCGTTGTCTCATCCAATCATCTGACTGGATAATGGGAGAAAAGCGGGGATGACGTAGGGTGCATTTCCACTCTGAGTTGAAGTTCTTTCAACTTCAAGAGTTAAGAGCGCTATGGCAAAAACGCTAGGCGCCTGGAGTGTAGAAACACGAGGTGTAGTAATGCAAAAACAGCTAGCAAAAAGTATAATTCTCATTAAAAACAGTGACAAAAAGCCGCCACCAGCTGCTATAATGATTTCTGTGTGAATTCTGATATTCACATGCGAGGGCAAGTAAGTTAGGTTAGGGTTAGGGGGTTTTCTGCTGGAAACTTTTGAGCAGCAAACACTTCATTTGCTGCTTTCTGGTAAATTTTTATGCACCAATTTGCATCTTTTCTGCATCAATTAATGCTGTAAATGTCTATTAATTATGTCCAAATAAAAGTTCTCTGCTACTTTGATGTTTCTGTTGGGGGCGGGGGACAAATACAAATGGTCTAATTATTGAGGGGGGCATGTCCCTTTGAAATCTACACCTTTATGTTCACATGTAAATACTGAGGTCACTAAAAAGACACACTTAATCAGTTTAAATGTATTTGTGTAATGTATTTTTTTTTTCTTGCGCTTGATCTTGATGATTCAGATGTTTTATGTAGAGCACTTTAAATTGTCTTGTTGCTGCAATGTGCTGTTTGAATAAAGTCACCTTGCCTGTAATGAGTAATAAAGACGTCTCAACTGTCTTAAAGGATGCAAATGTTTACTCTCCATTTGCATGGCTGTGATATGCTGTTTCCTCACACAGTGGTCGTTCAGGACATTACAGTATCACATGACAAGATTAGGTCATGGCCTTTGATCAGTGAAGACACCACATGGCTTTCAGAAATGACTCATCAATAGCCTACAGATGAAATAATCCACTCACACAAAGTATGAAAAGGAACTGGTTGCCAGATTTAAACCAATACTGAATATGCTCACATGCTACTGTAGGTTTAATACTGGCATATGTTAGCTACTGTATCAAAACCAGGTTTCTCATAAATGGATAATAAGCTTAAATGATTTATTGTAAGTTACAATAATCACGTGAAAATGCAACAACAGTCTAACTCTAAACCAAATTAAAGAGTGGATTTCTCCAGGCACCAAAAATGACTTGCTCAAGAGCATTGTGGCAAGGCAAATATTTACCAGGTCTTCAAGAGAAGATATTCATCTGACCTTTACACTAAGTAACTGCAGGAAGAGCATTGTCAAAGATAAAAGATAAAACATTAGATGATGCAAGATGCAACATTTACCCTTCGGTGCCAGTGATGTCTGGGAAAACACAAGAATAAAAACTTAATCTGGACTTTAGATGGCCAATATGGTGTATGTACAACTACTATCTGTCAATTTATCTACTACTAAAGTTGTATTTTATTGTCTCTCAAGGTGTATGTAAAGCAGTTAATAATTAATCATTAATGGGTTTCCTTTGTAAACAGTGCAGGAGACAGCACATCCTGCAGTTTCACAACAAAGTTGTCAACCTATCTCTATAATTATTAACACGGGCTTTCATAGCTTGTAAAAATTTGCTATCAGCATCAGACTGTTTTAAGCCTGGCATAGAATAGGTCATGGTTCACGCAGTAAAAGGCTTTAATGACTGTGAGTGAGAGTGACCTCAGCTGGGATGAGAACGTGTTGTCTGCACATGACATGTTAGAGGAGCACATGAATGCCGTCAGCACATATTCGGTATCTAAACATGAGAAGTTTCTGTCTGCCATTGTTCTTGTTTTCTGTTTGTTGTCAGGGGATGGGGAAAATTATTGTAATTTTTGTCACTTACTAAAAATGTAATATTTTAAACCATTATTATTTCATTACAAGATATTGAGGGAATCCTTCAGGCAAACTTTATCTTATTACTTTGTGATGCAATTGATTTGAAACAAAAATGGCCCTCTATGTTATTTGCTTGCTTGAGTTTACTGATTAACGTAAACATACGCAATTAGTGAATCTAATCTATTCTGTGGTCCAAGATTTGTTCTGCTTAGTTCATCCAATCAATTTGAAATAGGCTTGAATTCTGAATTTTTAGTTCTTATACATTATACGTTACCATCAATTTTTCCTTCAGATAAGTAACCTAAACTTTCACGTCTTGTTTTAATATTTTTTTTCGCTGAACAGCTTATGTCAGGCCAATGTTGTAAGGAAGGGGCCATTCTTTCCCATAACCAATCACTTATTAATGTAAACTAATGAAATAATAACTAGGTATCTGTGTAATCATTCATTTGAGTCAGCTGGTGAGGGTATGGTTTGAACGGTGCATTGGAGCATGTGGTTGTATGCTGAGCAGACAAGGGTTTGTGCCACTGCTAGACCCATAAAGATCAACATATCAACACAGTTAACTGTTTCCAGAAGGACTGAGACATAACTGAGTCTTGGTTTTTTGATTCATCACATGACAGCAGCAACAATTTACCTGCAACTTAAATATAAATGTTTACTGGAACATAACTGATCAGTTGCAGTAAAGAGCATAGGCCTTTTACTGAAACTCTCTCTTAGGTTCAAGTTCAAAATCATTGCAAGAAAGTGTTTTTTGTTCTTCTGCTGCCAGTTGTTAAATGAATACTTCTACATTTTATACAATACACTTATCATGTGAAGTTAAATAAAGGCTACAGGCAGCAGCTGATTAGCTCAGCTTAGCACAAAGACTGGAAACAGCTGGCCTGGCTCTGTCCAACAGAGGCAACTCTTCAGCTCGCTAATTAAAGGTCCAGTGTGTAGGATTTATGGGAATATATTAGGGCAAATTGAATATAATATTCATAACTATGTTTTAAGTAGTGTATAATCACCTGAAAATAAGAATTGTGGTTTTGTTACCTGAGAATGAAAATGAGTTTACCCACAAAGCCAAGAAGGTATAGCTGCAGCTGGATCAGCCACTCAACCCGCCCATTAGCTACATGACTAGCCCACCATACTGTCACATCAGTCCACAATCCCTTCACTCCTCGGCCCAGAAGCAGAAGCCCTGAAGAAAATGCTAAGCAGCTCGCTATGAAGTATTAGTATAAAGGAGAGGTGGTTAAGGGTAGGGTAAGGGTAATCGGAAGGGGTACATCTTGCTACTTAAAAGGTGAATCATGTTGTCATGTATAATCAGTTATAAAGTGGATTTTGCTACGTTTGTCCTCCAATTTGTTCACGACAACGTTGCATTTAAGAAGGGTTCAGATAACCATTGTGGTGGTAGGTTTGTCTTGTACTAGTAGTGGGTGCGGTTTGTAGGGGTTTTATGTGTATGCTTCAAATGGAATGTGTCTGCAGCTGTACATGTTTCCACAAAGCGGCAGGAATGCTGCTCAGCCTTGCAGCCAATTTTTCCCAGTGGCCACTCATGGTATTGCAGAAAAAAAAATCCCCTGCAGCCCCAAAAGTACAGTATTTTCCCAAGACACAAAAATACATGTCTGTAAAACTGTTTACAGGACACCTCCAGCTGCTCGGACAGTCAGTTATGACTCTTTCTATCATGAAT